GTCTCACCCTGCAGTCGTACGTCACGAGGGACTGGCCCACCAGCGGCGCCTGCCGCGCCCACCAGCACCGCGGCAGCGACGCCGCAAACGCCTGAGGGTCCTGCGGCCGCAACAGGCTGAGCGGCACATCGGCCTGCGCGGCGAGCGCAGCTGCAATCGCGGCAGGCCGCCCCTCGAGCTGCTCCGCGCCCGAAGGTGGCGGGCGCAGGGGTGTGGACACTGCCTCCAGGGGCACTGCTGCGGGCGCATTGGCCAGAGGCGCCTGTGCCCGGACGAACGACGCTCCGGCAGCGTCCAGGAGCAGCAGCCCCAGCATTATCAGGGCTGCTCCACGCCGCTGAGAGCGTGAGGGCCCCATTCCAACGTCACATGAGCGGCACCTGCTGGGCGAAGCCCCAACAACGTAGCAAAGGTGGCGACATGTAGCAAAAGTAACAAAATGATAAGACCGGTGCTGCGCCGTAAGCCGTGCGCAAGGATGTCACTAGGTGAGTCGATGCACCCACAATCGATCTGTGGATCGTGCTCTCCGGGACCCATCATAGCCTAGATGCCCTCCCTGTATTCATGGAAAAAGCTATATTTGCGCGTAAATTCATGCCCAGCGCCGTGCGGCGTCGCTCACGCCGTCCGAGCAGTCTTCCTTTACAAATGGTTGTCAATGTGCACGCGTGGAACACGCTGAGCAGGGCTCCTCCTTGCCGGGAGTCTGATCGCCAAGGACGTTCAGGGATGGCAGTGTTGCATTTACAAAGAAGGCTGGCACTCGACCACAAAACAGGACTCCATTGACAATCACACGGTGCAAGCAGCAGTCCAACATTGGCGTCCAGGTCTGTTGTTGCCCAGCAGCTTGGACCCGGCCAGTGCCTGGATTGCTGCTGCGCTGCTGATGTGAAATCACTCCTAGTGCTGTCATTGAAAGATTCGTGATGGTGAAGGGGCCCGTCTCACTTGGTGGGGGCGCAGGGGCAGTGCGGGCACCCACCAGCCACCACAATAAAGGTGCCGGCCCTCATGGCATACAGCACACAGTGAGACGTTGAACGTGGGACAAGTCCAGCGTCGCTTCCATGTGACACTGAAGCGTAAAACTTTGCAGTCATCACCTATTGCTGGTCATGGGCATGCATGCATGGCCTGAGTCATGCACAGGACAGGGGGTGCGTCACTTCCGCGTCGTCTCTGGGTTGCTCGGCGAAACAACCATCCATGCCTGCCTGTCCAGTCTGTTGAGTGCCTTGATAAGAGCGGGCAAGAAATCAGGCCCGAGACTGTGACCAAGGCCATCCCGTCAGTGGGAACAAGGTGGAGCAAGGCAGCGTCACGTGACCCCCTGCCCTTTAGAAGTAGGCTGGGCCAGGGTACCCTTGTTGCTAGGCGCTGTGCCTGCAGAACGGCCCCAGCAAGGCCGACAACAGCTGGACGGTTACGCTCACATGCTGCGCGCTAAAGGGAGCATACAGCAGTTCTCCATTGGAATGCAAGTAAACTGGTCATTTTGATGCGATGGCCCCGCTGTCCCATGTGCATGACGGGCGCCAAGCAAGGCACCTTGTGCAGGTGCGGTGCGCTGCTGTTGGTGGCCACATGGTGGTGGCGATCAGCGCCGGTTGTAGCCCATGAGCTTTGCTTCTATAGCGTCCGCTATCTCGGGGTACTTGCGCCCCAGAAAGTGACCCCTGGCCACTCTGGAGCAGAAGGGGCGAGGGGAGCGGATGAGGATTTGAAGTTGGGGCTCGGCCTGCGCCAGGGATCGAGAATGCTGAGGGAGCTTGCCGCGTACGGGTCATCAACCCACCCGGTTGTTGTACCTCTCTGTGGAATCCAGGCCACCCGCCTGCTCCCGCCCCTCCCCATGCAGTTGACGCTCCCTCACCCGCGCACAGCTGTCTCTTCCCCGCTCCCCCCTCCCCTTTTGCGCCCTATCCAATGTTGCTGCAGACCCCCCTCCCTACCCCCCAACCCCCCCAAATGGTCGTGGCGCACATGTGCAGCTCCGAGTCGAGCTTCTTGGCCACATCCATCTGCTCCTGCCAGCCGCCTTTGAGGCCGCGGTTGAGCCCAAGAAATGGGTCGGTAGTAGATGCAAACTGCGAGGGCACATAGGTTGGTTGGACCGCCAAAAATATCGAGAGGTGTGGTGGTGTTACTGGTGTGTGTTCATTGCTCACCACCTGTGAGGTAACCAATGCCAGGTAACCCAGGCCGAGCCGGCTAGCCACACACGGATGCCTCTGCTAGTCCAGCCACAACCGAGATCAGCGGATCACACTGAGTCGGGCAACTTCATCGAACAGTGCCAGGCCGTCTGTGTCACCGTGTGCATACCTTGTCAAGCAGCCAGCCCATGACGTGTGCACACTGCCATTGCCACCCACCTGGATTATGAACCCGGCGTTGGCCTTGATGGCATCCCAGTCCCAGGGCGTGTCAAAGTACTCGCTGCGCTTTTCAGACGCCAGGCCCAGGCTTGTCTCGTACGTCGCCACCAGCACGATGCCTTGAGGGTGGTGGCGGTGGGTAGTGGGAATGTGTGTGTTTGTGTGTGTGTGTGTGCGCGTGCCCGCGCATGTGTGCATGTGTGTGTGTGTGTGTGTGTGTGTGTGTGTGTCTGTGTGTGTAGAGAGAGTATAGACACCGACACCTGTGCTGGAATGGCAGTTTGAGCGATGACAGTGCAGCGCTCGGCAGGTGATGCAGCGCGCGCATGCCTGCTTTATAATTTACTCACGCCTTGCACCCAGTATCTATCCCCCCACCCCCTGGGCACTTCCGGGCCCTGCACCTGCGACCTTGTAGCGCTGCGCAAACCTCATGGCGGCGATGGCCCCACTGGAGTGGCCCACAATGACGGTGTCCTCCGCACAGCGCAGCTCGTTCCGCATGAAGGGGATCCAGTAGCTTTCGCGTGCACCGGCACAATCCGGCATCTTTCTGGGGAGGTGTGAAGGGGTGGGGGGTTGTGCATGACGTGGGGACCTACGCAGGAGATGGTGGAGGTGGCTCAGCAACGGGAAGCTGCCGCAACGAGCGTAAGCTTGGTACATGACTATTTCCTCTCTGTAACTCATCGCATGGGCCGACTGAGCAGCGAATCAAACACGCTGAGCACCACCCTGCCCCCTAAACATTGGTGTACCTGAGAGTCACGTCCAGGTACAGCGGCGGCTTGCGTTGCAGGCGGTCACGCAGCCACGCATAGAACGACACCCCCTGCACGTTGCACAGGGTGATGCCGGGCACGATCACCAGCCTCGGGCTGAGGGTGCTGTTCACGCCGCCCTGCTGCAGCGCCGGCGCCGGCGAGGTCGGGGGCGGAGACTTCCCGGGCTTCCGCGGGGCGCGCTGTTTCTTGGGTGGCGGCAGCACTGCCGCCGGCCAGGCAGCCGTCAGGGTGTATGCACCGAGGCTGCCGTAATCGCTGTAACCGCCAGCCGCGGCTCCCACAGCGGACACGGCGACCACGTAGGTGCCGGCCGTCACGTTGAGCACCACGGACGCGTCGAGGGCGCCGTCTGGGTCGCTGGTGGCCACCACCAGCCCGGTGTCACCCCGCAGCACGTCCAGCCGGATGTCCAGGTCCGCCTGGCCTACGCTGCCCCAGGACGCGCACCACGCAGGTGCGGGCACAGCAGTGATGTTGGCGATCCCTGCCACGGGGGCGAGGAACGAGTAGTAGTGTGTCTTGGTGGGGCGTGACAGGACAGCGAACGCCGCGCCGCGTGACATCTGATCGGGGCCAGTGGAAAAGGGCAGCGGCGCCGCGGCGCTGGAGACCGGCCCCGTAGGGCTGGGCAGGAAAGGCAGGGTAGCCGAGATGATGGCGAGCTCGTCGTCTGTGTTTGAGGCGTTGGGGTAGTCCCCTGGTGGCGGTGGGTGGGGAGGTTTCGGGGGTTTTGTGAAGTGACGCTGAGTTGATGCAGGGCGGTGAGGCGACACGCACACCCATCCAGGTGCAAAGCTGATTTGATGCATGGCACAATGTCCATTTGCCCAATGAGCGTTGTAGGAACAGAAGCGGGAGCTCCAAGTCTTGCATGTTGGCAAAACAAGGGATGTTGGAGTTGCAGCCAGCGTTGCCAGAGCGGCGCCCGCACCATTGCTCCACTGTGTGACATTCTTGTAGAATGGCAGCCCCATGATAGGCGCCCAGGCACCTGGGAAGATGCGGAGCCATCAGGACAGGGCGCGTGCACAGGCCAATTGCGGTCAGGCAGTGCAGTGCAGGTGCGACAACCATGGGCACCGGGCAGCTTAGTCACTGCACAGCTCTCGCACAGGAGTAGCGCCCACACTGCAGGCGGTTTCTGCGAAGGGCTGAACTGGCAGTCAGGCCCCGACCTTTGTGCAGCCAAACAAGGGTTGCAGCACCCTCTGGTTGAGATCTTCGTTACTCTAATCAGGGTTCGGAGTTACAAGCTGTACAGACCATCCACCGCCCACTGCAACAACTAGCAACCAGGTCTTCGCAAGTTTCCAACGCCCTGAAGCGACTGACGCTCACCCTGGCCAGTGTACATCGACCTGCCAGGCACGCCCTTGTGCAGCAGGCCCTGCGGCATGTCCAGGGCATGGAACCCACAAAAAGTGGCAGGTGGCGTGGCTTTATTTCAGCCGCGCGCTAGCTAGCACATGCATGAAGTCTAACCAGCAGGCCAAACCCATCATGCTGTTGTTCGGCTCCCTGGGCGCGCAATCGGCACCCTGTCGGACCCCGCTTCAACAGTCCGTCCCCCACCCCCCACCCCCACCGCACCAGGGCGTGGCCGATGTAGTGTGAGGCCGACTCCCACGCCAGCTTGGGCACAAACAGGCTGCCCGCGCCCGTGAACACAAACACAGGCTGATACGTCGTGTTAACGTACGCGCCTGCGTACGCCGCGCCGGCACCGCCGCCAAAGCCGATCCAGTCGCCAGTGCCGCCCAGCACCACGCGCAGCGTGGGGTTGGCCAGGCCGTCTTCCTGGGTGGTGATGTCAACGTCAAAGCCGCTGAAGTCCTCCGCGACACCCCTGAACACGGTGAGCACCGCCGCCAGCTCATCCGCGCTGAAGGCTGGGTCGGCATCCCAGGAGTAGGGCGGCGTGATGATGCTGCCGGCGCGGCCGAGGTTCCAGGCTGTGCCCACGGTGGTGTGGCCTTTGGCGGGATGGGGTGATGAAGGGTGACAGGAGGCAGGGGCCGGCAGCCGGGCTGACCAGGGGACAGGTGTAGGGGAGCAAAACCTCTCATACGATGCGCCAGAATTTGGAACATTCTGGACCCCAAACGAAAGCGCTGGCCTGCCCCTCAGCATGTTTCGTTGATGGGGTTCCTGTACCCATATATGCATGGGGGCAGCAATGCTCGAGCCCTGAACCTGTGTTTTGAAATCCGACAAGTCGAGCACCACTGTCAGTACCAACCTGTGAAGTCGAGGAGGATCTTATTTGGGGACGAGGGGCGGCTGTGCTGCTGGAACGCGCTGGATGGGTTGTCCAGCAAGGGGCACTTGCTTTTGGCTGCCCGAGCCGCCTTGACGCCGACAACTGCTGCTGACGCAGCTTTCAGAGGTGCATCAGGTGCAGCTGCAGTGGCGGCAGCGGCTGGGCCGCTGACCGCGGTGGCCGCCGCTGGTTGTGCATGACCGCAAGAAAATACCAGCTTGTCGTGGGCAGTGTCGTAGCGGACGCCCGGGTCCGTGGCCAGCGCCCGCTCAACATCCTCCCATTTCCTGGCAGGGGCCGTTGCGGTGGATAGCCAACACACGTGGGAAGAGACGGGGGCGTTCAACATTCAACACACCATGTTGGTAAAGAAGTAATGAACCAGCTTGCATACCATAGGTTCTATTGCTATTCATGCTGGGCCGTCATTTGCGCACCCTGCAGGCCAGGCTGGTCTACCCTGCCTCACCTTCTCTTGTGCACAAGTGACGATAGCAGGGCCTGCTGACGGCTGGCGTCGGCTGCCAACAGTCCTGCAGCGACGGGACCTTGCACAAACGAGGTGCCTAGCTCTCCTTGCACGCTTGTGCAGAACAGGCTGGCGCCAGCCACAAGCAGCAGCGGCACGAGCGCTGCGCCGCCGACGCGCATGATATCCCGACGTGGTCCGCCGCGTTCCTGGCCGGCGCGACACTGAATTGTCGATGGTGCGAGTTCTTCACATTCTCCGGGGTCACACAGGCGAAGCTGCGAGAATGGAGCTAAAACACTTGACGAGCGGTCCAAGTGACGACAGGTCCCCGCGGTGCACTGATGAGTGTCGAGCTGAATTCACATTGCTTGAAGGCACATGCCTGACGAAAGTCACATTGTGCAGGAGGTCACCGGAAGCCAACCGTCTGATCGGTTTCGGTGGCTGGCCACCATGGATCTTTATGTCTTCGCAAGCGTGCATGGTGCTAGAGCACATGACAGCGCGCCTATTCTAGGGCTGTGCATGCCTTGTCCTATCCATGCCTGCGCGTAGCCCTGAGGACAACTCATGCAGCACAACGATCGAACGCTGCAACGTCGCAGCCCAAAATTTGGGCAACGCCTGCATGGGCCGCGAAAAGGGGGCAGTGCAGCGTGAATATCAGCACCAAAGCTCTTGGGGATCGGCTTCCTGGGCAGCGCAGGCAAGCACGGGCCAGAGAATGTCCGGCACAGCACCCACGCCAAGGCGCCGCCAGTGCCAAGGGCAGTATCCGCCATCACAAGGCTTGGACTTAAGTTGATGCCAACGTACACAGGCAGATGACCCTTTAGATTCCAGGGTGTTGTCGCTGCACGAGCTGTCAGCGGCGTGCATAGTCGGCGGCGTGTTCGGCTTTGGGGGAGGCCAGGTGCACGCTGGCCAGAATGTCCTTAGCAACAGACATGAACATGGTCCCACAAGTCGCGGTTGGAGGCTGCGCTTGGCTCCTGCGACTGTGATTCTCAGCTGTAGCATCTGCCGTCGCCACCAAACTGGCCTGAAATTACGCACGCTCGGGCAATCACAGGCAGCAGGACAACCCTTTGCTGGTAGGAGATCCACCATTCAACATTGTGGCCCAGGTGCTCTACCTCACAGTCTCTTTTGATTGATATCGTAAACCATGAAGGGTGTGTTGCTCCTAGAGCTTTTCTTGCAGCTGAAATGGGCATGTATGCCATTGGCTATGATAAACGAGGACCGCTCAGACGAGGTCGCATTGATCTCGCCTGAGTGCGCCATGCGTGTCGCATGGCCTCCGGCTGTTTAGAGCCTGGGCTTGCATGATTATGTGGTGCGTTACATGTGCCAACTATCGTAACGAGGAGTCGCCTTCATTCCACAACTTTTGTGCCGCCGTCACCAAGGCATCTCCGCTCCCTTGCCGGTGCACGCTCCCCCCGTGCTTACGCGCACTCCCTTACGGTATGTGCCTCTCTCCCACTGTTAGAGGACAGGCCAGTGACAGATGGTAAATGTTGTGAAACGAAACTCGAATTCCGCTTCGTTGCTTGAAGTATTGCAGATCTACGCACTCGTACACACTGGCAACAGATCAACCGCAGGCTTTTTCAACGCGAACTGAATGGTGTCATAGGACCTACTTAGCCACGTGGTAGCTGCGGGCCATGGAGGCTCACTCGCCACCCGGCGAGAATAGCGCACCTGCCATGCTGGTGACCAGCGAGGAATATGAGGCAGGCCGAGGCCTCGAAGGTCTCAAGCTCAAGGTGCGCAGTAGTGCGTCAGGCGGCTGGCTCCGTTGCATGCTTGGTGTTGTGCATGCTGCTGTGGCGCATCAACAGCAAACCCCCATCAACGCCGCAACCTGCCACTGCACACAGACGCTTTGGACCAAAAAGCGTGGGCGGGGTTATCGCCAGGAGATGTACAAAGGCGTGCTTGTCCGAGGCAGCTCGAGGCGGGAGGCCCCGTGGCGTGTGCGGTATGACGACGCCGACGTTGAGGCCGGCTTCTTTGGCGGCGGCTTCACCACCTTCTACGCCGTTTCCGGCAGCGGTGACGGCAAGCTCAGCAGTGGTGAACCAGCTACGGCGCGGCCCGTGGAGTGGCTAGGGCCGCAGCCGGCGTGGGCGCCGGGTGCGAGCACGCCTCCGCACCATGTGGCCGCTGCAGCCGCAGCCGAGCATCAGCCAATTCCCAAAGGCGTCATGAGGCGGGCACAGCGCGGCCGCGGAAGAGGAAGGGGCCGCGGCAGCGGTGGCAGGGCGGGTGCTGAGGGTGCGTCAGAATCACGGCCCGATGGCGGCAGGGCCCTCGGCAAGGCCAGCGGTAGAGCCAACGGCGGGCGCGCAGGCGGCAGGGGCCCGGCCACCCCTGGCGCCACGCCCTCATGGGAGTCGGCTGATGGGAGCAGCAGCAGTGGCGATGGCAGCGAGGAGGAGGAGGGGTCTGATGCTGAGGAGGGGTCGACCGAGGAGGAGGAGGAGGCGAGCAGCGAGCAGAGCGAACAGGAACGACCAGCTCAGCAGTCAGGAGCAAAACAGCAGCAGAAGCAGCAGAAGCAGCGGAAGCAGCCGGAGAAGCAGGAGCAAGGCGTGCAGGAGCTCCAAAGAGGGGCATCAAAACGGCTGCGCTCGCTTGAGCTGGCCGACCCGCGCGCTGCAGCAGCCGCAAACGCCGACACCGGTGGCGGTGCAGCCGGCCCATTTTCGGCCATTGGGGATGCGGCCCCCGAGCACCGGGCCAAGCGCCAGCTGACAGAGGCGGACCTGGCTGTCGCCGGTCGGACGCTTTCTCAGAAGGTGCGCACCCTGCAGGAGGGACGACCCACTATCAAAGCAGTGGCGGCAGCGCAGCTGCAGGGTGGCAAAGGCTCTAGGCCTCCAGCAATGGAGCTTCCAGCGCAGCAGCAGCAGCAGCAGCAGCAGCAGCAGCAGCAGCAGCAGCAGCAGCAGCAGCAGGAGCAGGCATCGCAGGCAAAGCACCCGGGGCAACGCCAGGCGGCTGCTCAACACCAGCAGCCTGCACCAGGCCGAGGTGAGGGCGCCAAGCAGCACCCGCCCTCGCCGCCCCTGGCCGACCCCCAGGGCGCTGCTGGCCAGGTCAAGGCAGGGACTCATGACCTTTTGGCGCGCGCCTTGGTGGCGTGCGCGGCAGAGGAGAAAGGTGGTCCTGGCGGGGTCAGCCAGGCTGCTGGTGTTGGCCTGGCCAACCTGCAGGGACCGCAGGCGGCCGCCGGCCAGTCTGGCAGCGCCGGGCTGACGGCACAGCAGCAGCAGCAGCAGCCGCAGCAGCAGCAGGTAGCGTCTGCCGTCACGCGCATCGGCGGTGTTCGCCGCACCAGCGCGATCCTGCTCACCCGCACGAGCGTCGACGGCAGCCGCGCCGAGGCCGGGCGGCTGTCCGCAGACGGGGGTAGCGGGGGCTCTCCTGGGGCATGGGACGCACTCGCTGATTACGACGGTGGCGCCAACGAGGAGGACGAAGAGGAGGAGGGTGCGGCAGAGGCGCGGGGGGCGGCGCGGCGCGCGGCGGAGGCAGCCGCGGCGGCGGACTCTGCTGTGGACGCTGTCCTCGCAGGCCTGGCCGGCACGGGTGCCGGCATCAAGACGTGCGCCGCGGGGCTGCTGGAGCTGGTCGGCGCGGACGAGGCGGGCGGCGCGCGGCGCGCGGTGG